CCCCCCCCCACCCCCAAGTGTTTGGACTTTCTGTGCATTATCGCCACCTTCTTTCCATCGGCGGCAATGCATCAAAAGTATAGGCCAACCGCCAAAGGGAACTCAAAGGAAAGATGAAAAACAAATAGAACACAATGAAGAGATCATCATCAAGTAAGTGTCATCGCTAGCGTGTGGCCTCGACAAGACTTGAGCATTTACAGCAGCAAAATGCGGTGTCGTGCAGTTGACTTCGGTGAGCGATCGATGAAAGATGGTCAATCTGCTAAGCGTGCACACGCAGATCATGCAGGGGCCACAGATTGCACCTTGGCAGGTTGCACTGCTGTGTGATGAGGAAGACGGTACAAGCTCATTGGCAAATTTGCCTCGTGATGACAAAGAGTCTAAGAAAGGTCTTGGTACACGACTGTGTAACTAGCTGCGTTCGGCATTGTTTGGGGAAATAAAGGGGCTACGGGGTTCATGGTAAATAAATGTGTTAAAACAGCCATCTGCGTGACCCGTTTCTTTGCGAATATCTCATATGATAGCGTGGAAACCCGCGGCTAATAATACGAAGCGGCCGGTATAAGTACACATTGTTTTTTATGGGGAAATTTAGTTGTGGGGGCCTTTTAATGAGATGCGGTCTATTGTCCAGAAATTACACGAATACATAGTAATCAATTCAAATCTTATTTTTGTTTAGTATTGCGTTGACTACAATTTTTTAACGATAACTTATCATTAAACGATTAGATTTTTTTCCCATTGTAAAACCTATTCATAGGCATTAATCTAGCCATTTAAAAGATACTTTTCATCATTGCAGCCTTTAAAATTAGTAACCAATTCATAAAACATTCATTTTAAAATATGACACTGTTATCAATAGCATTTTAAACTATACTGATATTACACATTCCATCATATGTTGTTCCCAAAAGGGTGATTCCATTTCACTTCAATATTCCAGTCAAAATTAATTATTGGGATTAATGTGACGACACCAACCATTCTTCAATTTGCTTGAATCCAACGAGAACAAAGTCACAAAAGACTTGGTGAATGAGACCCACTGATACAGTGTTGGGTGGTGCGCTAGTTGGCTCATGGGTCAGTTACCTGCTCTTCTCTTTATGGCATTTGGCCAGCGCCTTGCAGAGGCTGGGATCAGGGCACAGGTCCAGAGGGGATTGGCCCTTCTTGTTACGAATGGTCAGGTCGGCTCCATTGGCGGCCAGGAAACAGGCAATGGATGCCGCGCTCTTCTTCTCCGCCCCCTGGGTGCCTAAGCCCATGATTAACTGCAGAGAGACAGACAAGCAAACGGGCGGTGAGCCATTGTAGACAGAACCAGATGATCCATGTCAGAGTGCTGTCAGATCAACAGCAATTATCCACTCAGAGACATGTTTTAAGAAGCCTTGCTGGCACAGGTCGCCACATCGAAAATCTCATGATCTCAACATCCATTCTTCAGTCAGTGTGGCAGTCGTCAGCATGGAGCCAATGAAGCTATTTCAATTCTCATCTCGAGAAAGGGAGCGCCATGTGAGAGCGACCCGAGTGCAGGCGCCTCGATTCGGCCCCTGTCGTCTTTGACCAAGGGTACTGAGAAGGAGCGTGAGGCGTCACAGAAGAGGAAAAGAAGTAAAATGGGATATACACTATGTGCATACCGAGACCGTTACCCATTTTTAAAACTGGAGACACTCCATGTGTGCTCTTATTGTGTGTGACACACTCAAGATGATCAACATGGCACGCGCTTCCATTTCCTCTTCCAAGGTTATTAACACACTTTCCCCATCCCTTACGATCTTTTTCAGTGGCATTACAAACACCACAAAGATACATTTGCACACAAATATAATTGACGTAAAAAATTACTCACATCTTACTTTGTATAATACTGAATTTTAAAATGACTATTATTCATTCATACAAAATATAAAAGTAATATTTCGTGTAAAATGGCAATAGGCCATTAATCAATAGATTTTAAGTTTACAAACTACATTCATACCTCGTTTTTCGACCATAATCCGTTCCAGAAGGCTGTTCGAAAACCGATTTGTTCGAAAACCGAAACCACACTGTTTTTAAAAAAAAAATCTTTATTGAACACGGCTGTTCACAATGGAACGCTCCACGAGGAAGCGGCACTTCTTCGTCTACCCAAGGAAGCGTCACTTCCTCGTGTAAGGAAGGCGAGAGGAGTCAAGTGACGCATTCAAGTGCGCTCAGTTTGTTCGAGAACCGAAATTCGGTCGTTATCCGAGGCATTAAAAACCTCGAAATTTTTGGTCAAAAGCCAATTTGGTCGAGAACAGAGACGTTCAAAAACCGAAGTTTGACTGTAATATACTGTCACCCTCCAATAATAATTTTTTTGTCATTGTAAAGTTCTAGTTGTTAAGTAGTCCTCGCGACCTTTTTTAGGTGGAACTATACCTGTAACCAGGGCATATGACAGTTTATTCAAAATATATTGCTTTCAACTGGATCTTTGAAAGACCAAGAAATCACTGCCTGTATTTGAGCATGTTGACAAAAAGGATCGAGGAAAACCACTTTTAGGTTCATCTCAGCAAATTAGAATGTCAAAAAGTCTATTTATTTCAGTCGTTTCAATTCAAAAAGTTACACTCATATAGTGAATCGATAAACAAAGGGGAAAAGAATTTTCAGGTCAATCCGTACCTATTTTACACATTAAAAATCATTTTGATTGTTTTATACAGGATTAACATTTCTCAAGATGGTGCATCTGGGGTTTTATTGGCTATTAATGTGTATTAAGCAAATGATCCAAAATAAAATCACAAAAAAGTGTCCTTTGTATAGAACAAAAGACCAAATTGTTCATAAGATTTGAATTTATTGAGGTGAACCTGTAATTTAAAAAAATAAAACAAAAAAACGTGACTCTATACCGTGTTCTTGGAGGGCTCCCAAGGCTCCACTTTGCTGACGTCCTGCATATCCTGGAGTTGCCGCAACTGGGACAGCGTGTGGTGTCGCAATGCCTCGTGGAGCGGCGTGTCCCCGTCCTTGTCCTGCACATCTAGCTTGGCCTCGGCTCGCACCAGCAGCTGCCGTGCAAGCGTGTCGAGGAACAAACGATACATCGTAAATGCCATAAAGGGGGTTTACACATTGCGCCTGGCACAGTACTGCACAGTACTTCTAAATGGCCCTTTTTTATTGAATCCACAAGATGGCAGTGTTGTAAATTTTATGCAAGAAGATATATACAGTATGTTCTGGCATAGCATTACTGTAGTGTGACTTACTGCATTTCAGATAACACATGAGGAATGAGGTAGAACAAGTGTGCAGTCTTACTCTGACAATCTGGGTGTGCTGACGCTCTACAGCCAGGTGTAAGGCTGTCTGCTGGTTGACGTTCTGAATGTCCAAGCTGGCGTTGCCCTGAGAAACACACAAGAAAAATAAGGAGCGACACAAATGGATGAATAAATTCCCATGAACATGCAACAGATAAATAACATATCCATAAATTAGAGATGAACGTGGACTTTTCTGAAAATTCCGGGAAAAAAAATGTAGATTAATTTGAGAAGAAACTTCAACACAAGAGACAATTTAGTCTCTTGTGTTGTTATACATATACATATACTGTATATGTATGTGAGGCGGCCGGTAGTCCAGTGGTTAGCACGTTGACTTTACAGTGCAGAGGTACCGGGTTCAATTCCAGCTCCGGCCCCCCTGTGTGGAGTGTGCATGTTCTCCCCGGGCCTGCGTGGGTTTTCTTCGGGTACTCCGGTTTCCTCCCACATTCCAAAAACATGCATGGCAGGCCGACTGAACACTCTAAATTGTCCCTAGGTGTGGGTGTGGGCATGGATGGTTGTTTGTCTCTGTGTGCCCTGTGATTGGCTGGCGACCGATTCAGGGTGTCCCCTGCCTACTGCCCGAAGACAGCTGGGATAGGCTCCAGCACCCACCGCGACCCTTGTGAGGATAAGGCGGTTCGGAAAATGAATGAGAATATA